TTTGAACGTCACATTTCGGTCGAAAAATCATAATAGATGCAATGCTATCGAGTGGTATCTCATTTGACATGTGTTTGAAAAATATCTCTGGCAGATTCGCGAAAAACGGGTTTAAACGGGACCGGGATGGGTTTTCCCGTTAAGAAAAGGGTTCGGGATCGGGATCGGGACGGGTTTAGTCCAGTTGGAACGGGACCGGGATCGGGACGAAAAAACTTCATCCCGCCGGACCCTACTTTAAGAGAGTGAAGTGGAATAAATTAATAATAATCAGTGGTAATTAGTCATCAAAAGAAGAAAAGAACGAAAGTTTCTACCTATTCTTTTGTAGAGAATAGCTTCGAGATATTTCTCTTTCGTTCTAAGGTTGTACCATACTTTTGTAGTAAAAGGTTGCTGGACAGTAAAAAAATGTTTTAATTGTACTGGAGGTAATCACAATCCTGGAAATGGTACGAGTGTAACAAAACTTTTCAAAAACATGTAGATATACTGAGCAGTATTAGAAACAACCCTGGTTCATCTCAGTTATCACCATCTGCATAGCTGCAGTTTCTTCAAATCCTGAAGACATAAGGTACAGAAAAAAAGAAATCGATGACAAATAGAGATTCATAGTCTAGTGATAAAAGTACAGGATCTATAGTCTGATGATAATCGTAGAAAACTGTGTATGCTGCTACAATTAGCAACAATAATACATACACGTCAATCAGTAGTCCATCAATCTTTATTGTGAATAGTTGAAATTCTGTATGAATAAGTCTGGGTAAAAGACTGTTGTACAAGTTACAATGTAACTTTACACCACCAAGCAGAAAGAAAAATTGTGAAGTGGGCGCCTGCAACTATCTTACCCAATTTTTAACCCGCCAAAGCTAGGTTAAGTGACTTAAAGCTAGCTGATGTGTTTGAATTCCACGCTGATCGCTCAACTAAGCGCCCACTGAATCGACCGCTTGCAGCTAGCAAGTGGGCATTTGCTCGGTGCAGCTAGCTATTTGACCCAAAAAATTTATGACTAAGCGGGCGGTTGAGTTATCTGATAAGCTGGATTTCCTTCCTCACTGTTGTCTGCTTGGGCAGTAGTTTGAGAGTCATTTAGCGACAGAACTATACAAATTATTTAGCGTAGTATGTAGAGGATCAGACGCTCTATGAAAGGTACGATAAGAGAGTCTGGTCAGGAACCTTTTTCGAGTTCAAAATTGACTTCTGAGCAAAATTAGTTGTATTTTGAAAATTGGCAAATTTCAGAAAATCCGACTTTTTTCTAGGAAGACTCAATTATGTGGCAAAATTAAATGAGCAATCTTCTTCAGTTTTTATCAGGCCTTTTAAATGAGATGCTGCTCGAACAGAACGGATGAAATTTGACTGAGTTACAGGCAAAATGCTAGCGACTACTTTTTTTAGAAATCATCGACCCCCTTTACTTAAAAAATTCAGAACTCAGTCAAAATAAGTTCTAACGGGCTAATAATTTTTTCATAACCCCACTTTTGAGCGTAGAATCCCAAAATATGAAAAAAAATATATGTTAATTTCGACCATTCCACTACAATTCTCGATGGGCTCGTGAAGCCTTTCTTAACTGTTGCTTTTTATTTTCTTCTCTGTTTTAATATGCTAAAAAATGACAAATGTGTCTAAAACGAACGTAAAACAATGGCAATCAAGGAAGAAATAGACTATTCAAACACCAGCATTGAGATTGCTATTCGTAATTTTTCTGTGTCCTTCCACTGTTCCACTACGGAGATTGCTGAAGAACATTTTCATCACTTGTTCATATGTCTGTCTTCATGATAAGCATTCAATGAACGCCAAAATCGACGATAAAGCTTCAACTGAATTTGTTTATCTTTGAAATTCTGACGCGATTCAGGAATCAGTCTCAACAATGTGTTGTATGTTTGATCGGTTTTCTTTCTGACGAATTGCTTCTGATGACACCAGAGGCCCTCTATCGCGTTTATCTGGCGATGAAACTTTGGGTAGAAAATAATCGTAATGCTCTATTTACTAGCGAGTTGTTCAAGACGTGATGTCTAGAAAACAAGTAATGTAGAGAGGAGAAAACAGAAAACTCTAGGTGAGCTTACAATCTTAAATGCTGGATGATCGGAAAGTATGGTACGCAATTCATCAAGATTGAATTTTGCCGGCAAAGTAATATTTAGGTCATTGCATATTTCAACTAAACCTTTACTTTGACGTTTGTTCCTGCCACTTTTGAAAAATCATCGACAGTTTGTTTTACACCTTGCTGATCAACGTATTTAATTTTATCAACTGGGCAGCGAGTGCCGATCGATTTTCCAAAGTCTTGTAATGAATAGGCTCTAGCGGTGTGTGTTGGGGCATTATCGACGACAATCTCGATTTCATGATCTTTAAATTCTTTTTTAAATTGTAATAATTTAAACAAACGTTCAAACTGATCCAGTATCGTGGAATTATCAAAATACGAATCGTAACCTACGTTTATGCATCCGGTAACACTTCTTTCAACGTAATTGATATCAGTGTCAGCCGCCAACTCTGGATACATTTTTAAAGCTCGCTTATACTCCGCTTCATTCAATGTGAAAAATGGCCTGGATAGATTCATTACTAGAAAATCACTGATCATATTGGATCGTCCTCGTCCTTTTGAAAAAAAGGGTGCCTGATCATCGAAAATCCATCGTTTTGCAGAAACTTCTCTTGAACGAAATGTACTTTCACCATGAACTAAAAAGAGACACGAATGTACATTAAAATAGCTTAATTTTGCATAAGACATCTCCTTTATTCAATAAAACACATGGCAGATTTTGTTTTGGCATTTTCCACAACGGTTTTTCATCGTCTGGTATGGTATAATAATGATCTTTTCAATCGATAAGGTACTTGATGAAGCTTTGGCGATCCTGAACTACATGTACTCGTTCGTGCCCATCAAAGTAGGACCGTTGCCAATTTGATTCAAAACGAGTTCCCCATCGACGAAGGTCCAAACGACACGACTGTTGAGATCGCACAAGATTAGCGTTGTTATCTTTAATTGTATCAGTTACTTCGTAGCACTTCTGATCAACAAAAATGACTAAATCCAAAGCAGTGAGATTGGCTGACTTCCTTGCACAATGTCCAAGTGCAAATGTTTTGGCTTCTATTTCAAGCTCGGAAAAAGAATTCATCGCCACGGTTTCCACCTCGATTCTCGCCACAGAAATTGTTCAAAATCTCCTGACATAAAAACGTCTGTCCATTTCTATGATGTCTGATTTGACGTTGCACCGATTTGTTTCAAGAACACATCACAATCACGCCACGTAATACCGAAATCTCGTAAGGTCATGTATAGTAATACACTAATGAATTTGGAGTCACATTTACTTTTACACAGTAGACAGAGACCAGCTATATCATTTAAAACTATTTTTTTATTGAAAGTCAACGGCTCATCAGCTGATTCATTATGTATTTTAACGTGTTCTTCCTCCGTTTCGATCGAGCTCTCTTTATTTTGTCGAACATGTTTGTCGAACCAACGTTGAGTTGTAAGGCCAACGTTACAAGAGTGAGAACGACTTTTAGATAGTTTGGGCATGCTGAACGATGCAAACAACAGCAAAAAAAGGACAACGACTGATCTGAAACAAATTAATTGATACTATTCATGTTTAGAGAGTCTCTTAGGAGCTGAAAAATAGAATTAGAAGCATACAGAGCTCATTTTCATTTCGAGAAAGCTTTTAGAAAACTTATGTGTTATTATCAGGCAAAGAAAAGACAGACAGTTCTGTTTGTAACAAATATCTAAGAGTCGAACGAAGTCATGTGATCCGTTGGTCTTTGTTTAATTCGAGATCTAGTTGACGAATCACAGTTATTAACCTTTTTTCAAAATGAGATCTGTTCAAAACATTGTAATTTTCACGATCGTTCAAAATTTCCTCACAATATTTCGAATGAATCTTCTTGACAAAATGTCCACAGCTGTGGCTCGCCAACCACCATTCGAATCAAAAAGAGGCCAATGACTTACATGGCTTAGAGGTTTTCCGAGTATGTCCATTGAATTCCTGGTGAGTTTTTACCTATTTGGGTGCATTAACACGGAACTGGAGTCAAAAGTCAAGCAGGTAATAGAAAACGAGGTCCCCGCTTCTGACATGCGTTTGAATAAAAGTGACTTTTCTCTGTAACGAAATAAAATCTTGAAGAATCAAGATTAAACTTTTGAAGCGCAATGTCTGGCGGTTCTAATGAGATATGAAAGTCAGCTATATCTCTTAACAGAAAAAACTAGATAGCTTTGCAAAATGGTGATCCTCCGAGACTTTTACACCATGACCACCTCACCTTCAGGTTTAAAGAGTTATGATCATATTATATTTGAATAGCATCAGAAATGAACTCTCTAGACTCAGTTTTCCATGCCGAATCTGAAAAAATAGTTTGGAATATAAAAAACAAAGAAAAAATTGAAAAAAATTGGCTGATTTTGCAGTATTAATTTTTCACGACATTTCTGCGCGCAACACTTCCGCGCACGACACTTGCGCGCAAAGACGTTTCCATGCAGAGACATTTCCGCGCTTGATACTACCGCCCCGACACTTACGCGCAAAATGAAGTTTTTCTTGAAACCGAAGCTAAGTATAAATGTTTATGGAAAACGTGAATTATATACCAGTAAAGGAAAGAGCACAGATAAATATCATTTTACAGTTAATGGTAGTGAATCAAACAATTAAAAGTTGAAGAGGGATCTAGCCATTTTAAAATAGTATTCACGTGAAACAACGTTAAAATCTTTTACCATATTTTTTATTCGATCATCTGTTTTTTCTTATTTTTTTCGTTTAGTTTGTGTACCAGCAAGCATTTGATTTGAAACTACAGCTGTATTTTGTTCTTCTCTTATGATGTCTTTGATAAATTTGTAAATACTCGGATGATCACCCACAACATTCTAGACATAAAACATTCAAT